CAGGTGACGAACAATTAATGCATCTATTGGTCTTTTCCCTTGATTTCCTTGCTGGAGAATCCAGATGCTTGCTGGGGCTGAAATAAAGCCATATATAACATATATTACAGGCTTAGTTTGGCACTCTTCAACAACCCCCCATGAAAAAATTAATGGCTCACTTATGTTTTCTAGAGAGGGATCTTGCAGAGGCAGAGGGGGAATCCATACTAAAAGGAGAATTAAAGGAAAGTAAAACACATGTTCCAGTAAAAAAAGACAACAGCAAACTGACCAGCAAATGCCCAAAAACAAGAAACACAAGAAGAAACAAGGATTCCTACCTGATAACGACAAAACCACTCCAGGCAGCCAAGCACAGAGCAAAGGAGCAGAATCTGAGCACACAGGATCAACTTCTTCCAACCAACAGCTGACTCAGCGAGCAGGCAGAGAACCAGGATCGCTATGCGTTCCAAACGCTCGTGGACGAAATACACATCACTTCCGGTTTTGCCGGCCGCAACGTCACTTCCGCCTGCTGGAACGCACACTGCGTTCCAGCCATCAATGCTGGCCTCTCCAGAAACCCACAGGAAACAATAGAGAGCACCCTAGCCGCAGCAGAGCACCCTCAGGAAAGACCACTAAGCTTACATGATCCCCCCACAGTATGGATCCCAAACACTGCCACCAATGCTAGGGGGGGGCGGAATTTTTAGACCCCAATTACTAGGGGCAAGTCAAACAACAAGGGAAATTTTTAAGGAGGACCAACCCCATTCTCCAATTACCTGTAGCCGTGCTTCCCTCAGAACACCAATCTAAATCCAATGCAGCAGTCCAGTACATACACTGAAACTGACCCAGGTAGTCCTGCTCATGCAGGCTGTTTACTGGGTCCTTCAAATGAAGAGAGGCTGAACTTCATTTGGAAAGAACCCACGACAAACGCAGGAAGGTGGCCATAAAATAAAATGTAAAAAGTCCTGTAGAACTTGCTAAGGACAATAAAAAAGACTGAGGTGTAAGGGGAGGAGGGACTCTTTATACCCATCAGTCTAATTCATTAATTAATTCCTGTCCTGTGACTGCTAAGGGAGGAGCTACCCATAAGTGATGCTGCCATGATTAGCCAGGAATATATGTGATCAGAGCCTGTCCACAACATGTAATTAATTTTTTTTGAGAAAAAATATACCATTTGTTTGTGCTGCAGAAATATATATTTTTGCCAGTTGGTTAACAAAATAATGCATGTTATTTTTTATGAAACCCCAACCACTTTGCACCCTAAATATTGAAGACATTGCACATCAACTACTTTGCATCAACATTATTAAACATTTGTTTGTGCTGATTTGTGCTACTAAATAAACATTTGTACTGATTTGGCTTCGGAGATATTGCACACTATATGTTATGACTTTGCCCCCCATGTTATTAAATCTTACATACAACTATATTATTCATTTGTGATCTGTTTGCGCTGATTTGTGCTACAAAAAGGAATGTTTGTGCCAGCTTGTTGGATATTACACCTGATATGTTAGGCCTTGTGACCTTAATCTGTCGTTTTTGTTACACATGTAATTAAAACATTATGTATTCTTGACCCTTGACCTCAGTCTGCAGCTCCTCCTTGTACTCCTCTCTCGAGATATGCAGCGTTGCCGCGATTACCACGGCAACTCTCCAAAATCTCGCGAGAGTGAACTCTAGCCCTGGAGCGCGGGCTAGAGTTCAATCTCACCACTGGGACCACCAATGAATCCCCCACCGGACCACCAGGGAAATGTCCCCCCTCCTCCTAAATAAAGGTAAGAAGGGAGGGGTGACATAGAATATTTATTTTATTAAATAAATTAAAAAAAATATTATTAAAAAGCCTCCTGCCCCCCATTACACACTCACTGCCCCCCCATTACACGCAGTGCCCCCATTACACACACTGCCCCCCCATTACACACATCATACACACACTGCCCCATACCCAAACACTGTCCCCATACACACACTGCCCCACAAACACTGTCCCCATACACACACTGTCCCCATACACACACTGTCCCCATACACACACACTGCCCCCACACACACTGTCCCCATACACACTGCCCCACAACACATACACACACTGCCCCATACACACACTGCCCCCATACACACACTGCCCCACACAAACACTGCCCCCATACACACACACTGCCCCACAAACACTGTCCCCATACACACACTGCCCCACAAACACTGTCCTCCATACACACACCCCACAAACACTGTCCCCACACACACTGCCCCACAAACACTGTCCCCATACACACACTGCCCCCATAAAACACACTGCCCCCATAAACACACTGCCCCCATACACACACTGCCCCCCATACACACACACTGCCCCACAAACACTGTCCCCATACACAGCCCCAAAAACACATACAATGCCCCCTAACACACACACACTACAACCCTGACATACACGGCCGCACTCACACACTTCACCCTTAACACACACCACTGCTCCTATACCCTATATCCCAGCAGACCCCAGGTAAGTTGTCAAACTGTTCTTAAACGGTATAACTACTTACTCTGGGGTGGAATCCTGGCACTACTGACACTATAACTACTACACTGAGCTGTAGTGGTTATTGTGCCTGGATTATTTAATTAAATAATCTACAAGTGCCCCTCCCGAGATCAGGCTCTGGATCCGCCACTGCATTGTACAGAACACTGGTGAGACCTCACTTGGAGTATTGTACGCAGTACTGGAGACCGTATCTCCATAATGATATTGATACTTTAGAGAGAGTTCAGAGTAGGGCTACTAAACTGGTTCATGGATTGCAGGCTTAAACTTACAAGGAAAGGCTAAAGGAACTTAACATGTATAACTTGGAGGAAAGATGAGACGGGGGGATATGATATAAACATTTAAATACATAAATGGATCAACACAGTAAAGGAGGAGACTATATTTAAAAGAATAAAAACTACCACAACAAGAGCACATAGTCTTAAATTGGAGGGGCAAAGGTTTAAAAATAATATCAGGAAGTATTACTTTACTGAGAGGGTAGTGGATGCATGGAATAGCCTTTCAGCTGAAGTGGTAGAGGTTAACACTGTGAAGGAGTTTAAGCACGTGTGGGATAGGCACAAGGCTATCCTAGCTATAAGATAAGGCCAGGGACTAATGAAAGTATTTGGAAAACCGGGCAGACTAGATGGGCCGAATGGTTCTTATCTGCCATCACATTCTATGTTTCTACTTTATTGCACTAGGACTGCTTCTTTTGTCCCCCCTTTTTTGTCTCCTTTTTGCAGATATTAACAATGCATATTTTACAGGTTATAAGTATATGCATGTGTGTGTATTTTGTGTGTTTTTAATATGAGATAACACCAGTTCCACTTGTGTATGTACTTTAAAAGCACTTTATAATATATATTAAAGGACCACTATAGACACCTAGACCCCGGCGGGAGGGGGGCCATGAGGGTGGGGCGGACCTATTAACACTATAATGCCAGAAAAACTAGTTTGATTTCCTGGCACTATAGTGCTCCTTTAACACTTGAGGTGTTTTTTTTTTTTAATTCTGTGCACCAGCACTTTTTGTTATTTATTATCTGCACCTTATTACCAAGTTTTATAGCGGGTGCTGCATACTAGAGTTTTATTCAATTGATTCCACTTCATATGGTTGTGCCTATTTTATCTATATTATATATGGATGTTTCTATGATTACAATATTTTTCACACTTGTCTATAACTTTTGCTGTTAGAATTGCTCCAATAAGGATAACTGTTCGAAAGCTGTAATTGAATTTGCAATAAAATATAAATCATGTTCATAATGTTCTTGTGCTTTTTTTCAGGGAAAGGCATTTGGGCAGATGTTACTGGACCTGGAAATCAAAAATGTCCCTGATCTGAAATCATTAATAGAATAAGATATGCTTCTATTTTCGATTGCTGCACACTCGTAAAATATTGGTGTAAAAAGGTTTACTGGAGTACACATTTCCATGACATATTACCACTATAGTACAATTATAGCATTTACAGATGGAAATGCATTACTTTTTTCACAGCAATGTAACAGGTGATTTAAAAAAATATATATATAGTTTTAGGTGTGTGTGCAATTCCCTTGCCATTTCCCTACAACTCGCGGTTTAGTGAATTAGTCCTACTGATTTCTATCATATACAAAAATGTTCTTAAGGAATGTGCCACAGTTTCAAATGCTGGCTCTTTTTTGTTTATAGCACATAACATATTATTTAGACATTATGCTCCAAGTGCCAAACAAAATAGTGGGGAAACCACAATCTAAGTGTCTTCAGGACTATAATAGGTTGAGTGCAGTTTAAAAAAAAAGTGTGTGTGTGTGTATATATATATATATATATATATATACACATACATACATATACATACACACACACACACAAATATCTGCATTAAAATTTACATCTATGTCTGCCAATTAAAATTAGTGAATTTGTCTGGAAGTCTGCATATGTTTATTAATAAGACCAAGTAAATGTGACATTTATAAATTGGTGAAGAAGATAAAAAGCAACAGAAATAGATTTCCACTACAAACCTTTCTTTTATTGTAGTGCGCCTTGGTCCAGATTTGGTTATGACTGCTCTCTTAGACTCAAGACAAGCACAATCTAGTGCTACTCGGTAAGACCCTGGTCCTGGCATCTTTCAATGTAATAAGAACAAAAGAATTTGAAGCCTTCAATGACAAAAAAATACACATATAGGGTTATTCACTGGACTCCAAATTTTATTTAATTAAAGCACAGTTTGGCTATTTTAACATACATGCTGCCATTTAGATTTTAATCACTAAAATTCAGAATGTTAACTCTGCATGTGAGGTCTATCAAATAAAAAAATATATGCCTAATATATATATATATATATATATATACACACAAAAACACACACACATATATATATGCCTGATCCTGATGAAAGTCCCTGCTGGGACTGAAACGTCGATCTTATTTTTAATGGATTATCAATAAACTGTATGTTTTAATCTTCACAAGTCCGTGAGTGCTGATCACTATCTATATATATATTAGAATTTTCCTGGATTTGAAGCACCCGGCAAACAGTCTACTAAGCGTGAGTGCAAGGACTTTCTACATTTTGCTTTCTACATAAAATGAAGTCACGGGGTGAATAATTTGCAGTTTTAACCAATTTTAATGTTTTATAGTATGCAAAACGTATGCTTAGCTTAAAAGGGACACTAAGCATTAAAACCACTTTGTTTTAATTACCGTATATACTCGAGTATAAGACGAGTTTTTCAGCAAATTTTTTGTGCTAAAAAACCCCCACTCGTCTTATACTCGAGTCACTGTCTGTATTATGGCAACGTACATTGCCATAATACAGACAAGGACCGCTGGGCTCATTACAAGCCCGGCGGTCCTGTTGGAGGCTGGCAGGAAGTGTTTTCTTACCTTTCCTGCAGCTCCTGTCAGCTCCCTTCTCTCTCCTCCGGTCCGGTCAGCTCCCCTGCAAGTTTTGCGAGAGCTGCGGGGTCAGAGCGTTGCCATGGGTTACCGTGGCAACGCTCCGCGCGGCACTCACACCACGAGACTTACAGGGGAGCTGACAGGAGCTGCAGGAAAGGTAAGTTACAGCTCGCTGCCAGCCCCCCTCCTACACAGTGTACCCCACTGGACCACCAGGGAATGAAAGCCCCCCTCCCTGGCCAGCTAACAAGCAGGGAGGGGGGACAAAAATAAATATAAATAAAGATTTAAATAATAATAAAATAATAATATATAAAAAAAATTAATTTAATATTAAAATAATAATTTTTAAAAAATTTATAAAAATGCCCACCCCCCACCAAGGCTCTGCATCACACACACACTGCACTCATATACACACACACACACTGCACTCATACACACACTGCATTCATAGACACACACACTGCACTCATACACACACACACACACCGCATTCATACAAACACATTGCATTATATACACACACACACACTGCATTCATTATATACACACACTGTAAATAAATATTCAATTAATATAATTTTTGGGGGATATAATTTTATTTAGAAATTTACCAGTAGCTGCTGCATTTCCCACCCCAGTCTCGAGTCAATAAGTTTTCCCAGTTTTTTGGGGTAAAATTAGAGGTCTCGACTTATATTCGGGTCGACTTATACTCGAGTATATACGGTAAGTAGTTTTGATTCAGAGACCCTGTCCCTTTTCTATGACAATGTAAAATATTGCCATTTCTGAGAAACTACAATGCATTTTGCGTAAACCACAACTCTAGTGGCTGTCAGGCGTTTATTTTCATTTTTTATGATCTTCACGTTCAATACCATCACACGCCACAAGATGGAACCAAATGCAACTAGTGCTTCTCATAGCTTATCTTTAAAACGCAGTGGAATGATAGAGCGTGGCAATTGCTGCACATGTCCCTAATGCTTCTGTATTAGAAGCACTGGGTTGGACACATTTCATCAGACATGGAGTGACTGTGGAGAGGAGACTATACCATATAAGTGTTCTGGCTTTTTATGGCCACAGTAATCTATATGCAGGGCTGGTTCAAGGATTTCTGCCTCCCCAGGCAAAGATCCATTTTGTCGCCCTCCTCATGTCACTTACTCACTGACAGACACACACTGGCAGACACATTTACTCACAGGCAGACACACATTCACTCACTGACAGACAAACACACAATCACAGACAGACAGACATTCACTCACTCACTGACAGACACACACTGGCAGACACATTTATTCACAGGCAGACACACATTCACTCACTGACAGACAAACACACAATCACTGACAGACAGACATTCACACACTCACTGACCGACACACACACACTCACTCTCACTATCAGACATACACTCACAAACACTCACTGACATACATACTCACACACAGGCAGACACACACACTGACAGTCAAACACTCACACACACACACACACACACACACAGGCAGACAGACACTCACACACACTCTCACTTACAGCCAAATACTCAAATACTCACTTCCCTGAAGTCCAGTGTGGGGCATCTCCTCACTCCTCCAGTGCGCTGTTTAGTATGCCGGGGCCGGAAAGACGTCATATTCCGGCTCCCGGCATCACAGAGGGCGCGCAAGAGAGGAGTGAGAGACTGCAAGAACAGCCTCCCTCATCGCTTGCCTTCTCCGCCCACTGGGATTTGTTGGGAAAGCAGGCACCTGCCATTAAGGTAAGCAGGTGCCTGCTCTGACTTACCTAGCGCACAGCTTCGGGGGCGACCTGAGGTGGTGTCACGGTTCTCACCTGATAGACAGACGGCAAGACGTGGTCGCTCTTGGAGTTCCCAACAGGGGACTTGAACCGGGGATCTTCTCAGTCCTGGTCCTGCTTTCTACCTCTGAGCCACAGCAGCTATTTACTGTGAAGACTGATTCCAATCCTATTCATCCGGACATGGCTACTACTCTGGGGGCTGCACCTTGACTTGGCTGTGTTTCACCTGACTCTGATCAGTCATCAGCAGGGTATATAAACCCAGCCTCGCCCTGTGCTCAGGGTCAAGTCTTTGATCCTGTTTGTTCCAGTGTTCCTGTTTCATCGCTTCGCATTATTGACCCCGGCTTCCTGACTCGTTTATTCTGACTTCTGGCATCCCTTGACTTCGGCTACTCCTCGTTGTTCCTGTCCTCTGGCATCCTTTGACCTCGGCTATCCCTCGACCATCCTTCTGGTTCAGTCCTTGCCTGTCCTGCGTATTGGTACTGCATCCTGCACAGCCCCCGTGCACAGACCCACAGGCCAGGTGAATTCTTACCTGACCACCTCGGCCTGTGGCTATCTGCAAGGGTGAGCATCATATCTGCGCTACAGACTCCCAACTCAGGTAAGACCCTGACATAAGGACTTGACCATCATGGAGTCCGCAGAGATGTGCTCACCCTCGACCCAGCGTGTGTCCAGCCTGGCCCAGACTGTTTCGGAGCTGCAGCAAGAAATTTTATTCCTTAAAGGCGCAGTACATCCGGCCCCGGAACCAGCTTTTCCTGAACCGTTTGTCATCATGCCCGACCGATTTGATGGTAGCCGCACATCCTTTCAGTCTTTCAAGATGGATTGTGAGGTGTTGTTTTCCTTAAAGCCTCGAACATATGCCACAGAATTCATCAGGGTCAGAGCGGCTATCAACCTGTTGTCTGGACGCATCAAAGTTTGGGCTCACCAAATGTTGCAGACGAAGAGTCCTGTCCTGGTCAGCTGGGAATCCTTTAGTACTGCTATGGACTCACAATGTAAGACCACTGTGGCCAAGTCAGCTCCGCGTACTAAAAAATCTCAGACTCTTCCTAACCTAGAAACCGAGTACCACCACTACGCCCCAGAAATGCCTCCTTATGTTCCAGCTCCCAGGAAAACTCCAGAGGTATCCGGTGTTCCACTTGACCCTGTGGAACCTATGCAATTAGGACTCGTCCACTGCAAAGTGACACCTAAGGAAAAAGACCGAAGGAGAAGCTATGGCCTATGTTATTACTGTGGAGAAAAAGGGCATTTAATCACGCTTTGTCCTGTTCGCCCTCCTAGACCTCCAGCTCTCCGACTTGGTACTAGTTTCCTTCGCCCTGTGTACACCGCATACCAGCCTAAAAAGCCAAATAGAAGCCGTTGTGCTTGCACATGCTTGGCTTCCGCGAGAAAACCTCCATCCCCTGCTCCAGAGCCTCCTGCATCTACTCCCGAAGTTGCTTCCTGTGATACCACCACTACTTCCTGCCCGCCCGAAGAGGTTTTACCTGTGGATTGTGCCGTTGCTTCTAATGGCACTATAGTCCGTAAAGAAAACCTTGATATGTTCGAAAAAGCATTGTTAGCTGCGAACACTGCTCCTGCCGAAGTTTTGGAAGTGCTTGCCACCTGTACCCGGAACCTAAAAGACTTGGACAATTCTCCAGCCGTACCAGAAGCTGGTACTGCGGACTCCCAAGCTGTAAAGGGAATCCTTGCTGGGGAGTTTGACTATGGGGACTCACTGGATTCAGATAGTGACCCTGGAGAGGTGTACTATGCTGACAATGAACCCATTCACGCCCGGAGGTCGTTTTTAAAGGGGGGGGTACTGTCACGGTTCTCACCTGATAGACAGACGGCAAGACGTGGTCGCTCTTGGAGTTCCCAACAGGGGACTTGAACCGGGGATCTTCTCAGTCCTGGTCCTGCTTTCTACCTCTGAGCCACAGCAGCTATTTACTGTGAAGACTGATTCCAATCCTATTCATCCTGACATGGCTACTACTCTGGGGGCTGCACCTTGACTTGGCTGTGTTTCACCTGACTCTGATCAGTCATCAGCAGGGTATATAAACCCAGCCTCGCCCTGTGCTCAGGGTCAAGTCTTTGATCCTGTTTGTTCCAGTGTTCCTGTTTCATCGCTTCGCATTATTGACCCCGGCTTCCTGACTCGTTTATTCTGACTTCTGGCATCCCTTGACTTCGGCTACTCCTCGTTGTTCCTGTCCTCTGGCTTCCTTTGACCTCGGCTATCCCTCGACCATCCTTCTGGTTCAGTCCTTGCCTGTCCTGCGTATTGGTACTGCATCCTGCACAGCCCCCGTGCACAGACCCACAGGCCAGGTGAATTCTTACCTGACCACCTCGGCCTGTGGCTATCTGCAAGGGTGAGCATCATATCTGCGCTACAGACTCCCAACTCAGGTAAGACCCTGACAGGTGGCCAGATGACTTCCTACTGGCCCCCCTGTGACAGGGATCATCACAATGCCCCCACCTTTGGGCACCTTGAGGATAGGCCCGGCGCTGGGGAGGGCAGCCGCTCGTCCAGCGCTGTGGATCCAGACAGGGCAGGAAGCATTCCGGTGTGCACCCCAGCAGGCCGGCGCCCTAGGCGAATGCCTAGTTCGCCTAACAGTGGCACCGGCCCTGTCTATATGCAGTAAAGAGCACTCTAACATCCAAAAAATATTATTTTTTAACAATGGAGTAAAGAGCACAGGGATGGGGGTTCAAATCCTATAAATTACAGTGGAGAGGACAGGGGCAGCAAGTACGGTGGTGAGATCAAAGCCAGCCAGCCCATTCTCCTGCTGTGGTGCCTGAAGGACTGGTGTACTAATAGAGACACCTTTAGCGGTCTTGCTCGCCTGTACTGTATCTGAGCGTTACTGCGGAATACCATAGCAATGCTGTGACATATTTCCCTGTACTGGCAAGAAGGAGCTGGAGGTGCAGACATGCTACATCTCCCACCGGACCACCAGAGATTAGGTTTCCCTGGGAATAGTTTAGTTTGGGGATTTTTTTTTTTTTTTTAAACAAAAGGGTTCCACCACTATAAATAATTAGTACAAATACAAACACACTCTCTCTCCTTGACTGCTTTCAGGTCCTGCTTACTTAGGGCTGTCATTAGTCTGTGATATCACTTCTGTACACTCTTTACTTCCGACATATGAGTGTGTCCTTGGAATACCAGGTGTGTCTGGCTTGTCAACTGGATATTGTGAATCAGGCTTCTCGACCACTCGCAGATCCACACGATTGCGTCAGATCTGCAGACAGGTTCCCATTCTCCAGCGACTTGTTAGATCTCCAGGAAGCGGTTTCATATGGATTTGTTCCCCAATATTCAGTTCAGGTAAATCCCTAGCAGATTAGTCATATCTTGCCTTGAACACTTGCCTCTTAAGTCGTAACCTTTCTGATACACCTTATATCACCTTATACCTTTTCTGGTACACCTCTTAAGTCATAACATTTCTGGTACAACTTTTCTGGTTCAAGTAGCTTGTTGGCTACTTGAACCTCTTTGACATCAGTCTCTGTGCAGGACTACTATCCATACCCTCAGTTGGAGTGTTTCTCCAATGTAAGATGGCTTTCCACGAGGTCTTTATCATCACTTTTTTTTTATTATTTATTATTCTTCACTACAGTATTTTCACAGCAGATTCAGCTTTGCCATTAGCTTGTGGATGGCATGGTGAAGAAGTCACATGCTCAAACTCCCATTCAGTAGCAAATGTCCTGAAATGTAAGCTTGCAAACTGAGGATCATTATCAGAAATCACTTTAGCTGGTTGGCCATGACATGCAAATTGCAGCTTGCATCGCTTAATTGTAGTTTCAGTGGACAGGTGAGGAAGCACATCAGTTTCCCAGAAGTCTGAGTGCAGGTACTATTTTCCAGCATAGTTTAATAAGTCCATGCTGACAATCTGCCTAGGATGTGTAGGTATCTCATGGGACATCATGGTTTATTTTTGTTGCAAGTGTGCATATTCATTGCAAGTGGGACAATTGTTTACAAAGTCTTTGATTTCAACTTGCATGTTGGGCCAGTAAAGAGTATCATGAGCTTGTCTGTAGCAAATCTTGCCTCCGATCTCTGCTCTCAGTGACTTTGGCACTATGACCCTTGCACCGTTGTACAAGATACCATTTTGTATGCTGACCTCATCTCTGAAGGACCAATATTCCTTCGCAATTGCAGGTGTTACATCCTTTTCATCTGGCCACCTCATCAGAACTATAGACTTCAGTACTTGCAAAGTTGCATCACTTTCTGTGTGCTGTATGAGCTGATGTAGCTGATCTGTGACATTAAGATAGTCTGCTTGCTTGACTTTGGCAAATAAATTCTGTTGCTGCTGCAACAAACAAACTGCAAGATGCTCATGATCACCTTCAGGTGCCACATGTTCCGTTGTAGCTCTGCTTAGGGTGTTACTGGTGTACATTTTACATCCTGGCTTGTACACAACATTGATGTTGTAATTCTGTATGTAAGAATCATGCTCTGCAAATGCTTTGGAGCACATAAAAGCGGCTTCTTGAATATGGCTATTAGCGGTTTGTGATCAGTTTCAGCTATGATTGCATTCCGGCCATAGAGATAATGATGGAAGCACTGACAGGCAAAAACAATGCTTAAACATTCCTTTTCAATTTGAGCATAATTTTGCTCAGCTGAAGAGAGTGCTGTGGACGCTAATGCAACTGGCTGACCTTCTTGCAATAAACATATCCTAGGCCATTTTTGCTTGAGTCGCTTTGTATTGCAACAGGCTTTTTTACATTGTATTATTTCAGCTGTGATCAAGCATTTTATTTCCTCCACTGCCTGGTCATGCTTGGAAGTCAATGCCAAATGCATCTTTGTCTAGAAACCTTCTCAATGGCTCACACACCTAAGACAAATGCGGCATGAATTTTGCTAGGTATGTGACAAAGCCAATAAAACGCTGCACTGCTTTGGTGTCACCAGGCAATGGCATATCCATATTTGATTCTAATCTTATCTGGGTCAGCTTTCAAGTCTTGTTGAGACAGGATATGTCCATGGAAGCGGACTTCTTATACCATGAATTGTAATTTCTTTACGCTGAGTCTCAGCATTACCTGCCTGCAGTGATCCAATAATGCTACTAGTTTCTCATCATGGTCATGCTCAGCTTCCTCATTTGTATTACCACAGCCAATTATAAGAATGTCATCTGCTATTGGTTCAGTTCTGTGGAGCCCACTTAACAGTTCATGCTGGTTTCGGTGATATACTTCTGGCAGCTTGAGCCATCTCTTTCGGCCTCCAGAAAGTGGTCATGTAGCTACCCTTTTAAACAGTCTTCACTGTAGAAAGTCATCTCTTGCATCAACAAGTGTAAAAACCTGTGCTTTGGGCAGTTTGTGCAAAACATCCTCAAGTGTTGGCATTTTGTAGTGTGACCTGATGTTAAGAAACTTCGGATCAATGCAAATTCTAATCTTGTCAGGCTTTCTAATTACTACCATGTTGCTTATCCAATCAGTTGGCTCTGATACTGATGTAATATATCTGTTAGCTTCATTCTTATCCAGTTGCGCTTTTACTTGTGGCTTAATGGCTATTGGTACATTGTGTGGGGCACATTGTACTGGTGGAATGGTAGGTTCCAGTTCATAATGAACCCCTCGTGGAACAGATACTATTGGGCCACTAAGCACATCATTATAGACATTGAGGATTTTCAGTTTTGTCAGTGGCCTAGTCAATGGATTTGCAACCTGATTATCAATATTGTGCAGCTCAGCAGGAATTGAGAATTGCATCAGTCCCAGGCGCTCACATGCTGAACCAGACAATAGAGGTTTGTGATTGGCTTCAACAATCTCAAATTCAAGTTTGTGTATATGCTCACGTATGGTGCACTCTGTTTGGAAAAGTCCCAATGATTCCATTAGTTCCCCTGAATATAGCTTCAGCTTGGTGCTGCTAGGCTGAAGTGGTGTCCTAGGTGCCAGTTTCATCTTGTCTTTCAAACTCATGACATCACATGTTGCACCAGAATCCAACTGGCAGGGTTGACATATATTATTCTTTTTGAGATTTACAAACCATTTTTTGCCCTTAAACTTTACAGCACCAATGCATTCCTTTGAGTAAATCACATCATTGCTAAGCAGGAGTGCCTCCTCAGAATCAGACATTTGTTCAATTGTGTTTAGCTCCCTTGCTTCCTTTCTTCTTGACAGACATACTCCAGCATAATGATTTAGCCTACCACATGATCTACAGGTCTTCCCATATGCAGGACACTGTTGTTTCTTGCTCACATGAATACTGCCACAGTACTTACATGATGTAGACTTGCTCACAGGTGAGGTTCTTTGGTGATTATTGTATTGATGCGTGTGCTAGTGGATCTTCAAGCTTAGCTGTTGCTTGAAGGCTGCATGGATGCTGTCAGTTCTGCAGTGCGACATATCTCAATTGCAGCATGTAGGTTTAAATCATGTTCCCTCAATAGGCGGTGGCGGGTACTTTCAGTATTAATACCTAGAAATATTTCGTCACGAATAAGTTCATCTCTCAAGGAGCCATACTCACAACCTTTTCTCTTAGCCTTGTGACAAAGTTGTCTATTCATTCACCTTCTTCTTGCTTGCAGCTGCCAAATATATATATATCTTTCATATATTACACTTTTTGCAGGTCTGAAGAAAGCTTCCAATGCATCAAGGATGGCTTTAGTATCTTTTGCTCCTCTGCGAGCTTCAAATTATACTTGTACACATGGTAGCACTCACTGCCCATCACCGTCCTCGGTGTGGCTGCTTTCACTGCTGCAGGCTTCTCATTCAGCCCTTTAGCTAGGCCCTGTAGCCAAACTCAGCTCTGAAGTTATCCTGCAATCCCCACTCCCCCTCATTGCCTTGGGTAGTGGAATGCTATGAGCAGCTGCCATGATGCTGGTTTTCTTGCTTCCAATGCTCAGCTTGCAGGACAGTAGTAGCTGTAATTGCTACAGGAGGCACAGTCACTTCCAAAACATCTCTCACTGCAAGACTTGCAAGCTCCTGGCATCAAATGTGTGAGAGCAGACCAGGTTCAGATACTTCTGACACCATGTTTCAGGAGATATAAATAAAGACACTGCCCGGTATTCATGTATAGCAGCCATATTTCAGGAGATACAGGAAGGAAGCACACACCCCAACAGGAAACACATGCAATAGAAAATAAACCATAGAGTTAGTTGCATGTAAACCAAACATAACATACATAACAGAAACATGCAATGCATTCAGCAACAGCCACTACAGGCATCCTTGGTGTCAATTGTGATTACCGTTTTTAACAAATTACAATGCAGGAAGAGCATTTCTATAAGCTCTAGTGGTTTTGGTACTTTAAGTGTCTCTTTAATGTGTGTTTCATAATATCCTAATAGAGCCTCAGTTAACGACTGCAATTATGGAGATTTGCAAAGTTCACATTAAGTTTACTGGACTACACAAACTGAAAATATAGCTTATGGTACGCTTTACAATATTGTACAGTTATAATACCATGGATGCAGCTAGATATGTACTCTGTTTTACATATTTCTAACTTTATTACTGTATCATTATAGTTTTTGGAAAATCACATTTTAAAATATATATTACCACTACTGCAAAATGTGCTTTGTGTTTTGTAAACCAAAATAAAACTTTTGAATCAGTTTCATAAGTTTATTACTATGCATACATACATTAAATGTTTAGTGTTCAGTTCACGAGTTCACAGTAGCTAAAATGAGCTCACATGTCGGGTCTAGTACACTAGAAGACTGCGAAGAGGGGTTGTCATTTTAGTTATAACACATCCTGTTTTTAGATTAAACAAAGACAGCAAAAAACAGAGTTCTAAGGAAATTAGTGGTGGGTAACCCCAGGAGTAAAAGTAGTATATGAAGGGTAAAGATTTCCTTGAACGTATACGTATGCAAGTTAAACGTTACTTTTATTAATACAATATTATAAAAAGAAAGAATAGTCACTATATTCCTCAAGCCAAGAATCACAAATATCTGAAGGGTGGAATATCAAACGGCAATTAAGAGGAATAGAATTAGAGCCACGACGTGTGTTTTGCTGGTCAGGCGGCTCTTGAAGGGTGCATGTATAATCAGTCCCTTTAGACTTTTTAAACAGAGAAAAGGCAGTGTTTACATTGCAGCCTAGGGGTGCCTCCACTGGCCACTCCTCAAATGGCTAACAGTGGTGCTTCCTGGGGCAGTGTTGCAGTGTGCAGCTCTGACATTGAATGTCTACACCCTTTGCATGGAGACACTGAGCTGTGTTTGGCTTGTGCTGGCTCTGCCTCTTTAACTATCAAGCCAATCTAATGCTTTTCTATGAACCTATAGTGTTTCTTTAAGGCACTGTTTCTAACGTGTAACATCAGCAATTTGAATATCACCTGATCTGTAAGGTACACCCCCTATGACATAAATAAAATTCTTAAAGGAACACTATAGTCACCAGAACCACTACAACTTAATGTAATGGCTCTGGTGTATATAGCCTGTCCCTGCAGACTTTTTAATGTAAACGCTGCCTCTTCATAAAAAGTACAGTTTTTGCATTGCTGCCTTCTAACACCTCTAGTGGCTGCCTCTCAGATGGCCACTAAAGTGTCTCCTT